AAGTGCATTTTGCTGATGATTGTCTGCAACAACAGTTATACCACAAGGAACAGAAAACGATGCTGTAAGTTTAGGTTTAGTTTTTGCAAAAATCCAAGAATGTAAAGGATACTATTTCTTAATTTGAGTTTAACTACTGCCATTTTTTTCTTCCTTGCAGTGGTCCAGTAATGCTTTTTCTTGCCTGCCTTCCCATTAAACTTGCTGCTGATTCCATGTAAGTTTTTCCCTCACTTTTGTTCCCAAAATGACTCATGTCTCCTGTTAATTTCAGAAAGGCAAGCTCAGAGCTGGCAGTAAATAAAATAGATCCTTACCAAGAAGCAAAATCTAAGGGGGCAGAATCGGTCCCAGCAAACCCTATTTTCTAGCTGCAGAAAAAACACCTCTACCTCTTGGTTTAATCTGGATGCCTAATAGCTACTTAAAAAATGCTTTAAAACTCTATGTCTCATCTTTCTAGGAATTAGCATACTTCTTAAAAGTAATGATAATAAACTGCCTTCCAAAGAGAGAATGAAAAATAATCCAGCCTTTACAAGAGAGGCTAGCCGCTTCCATTCATTCTGAACAGCGTTAATGCTGAATTGTGTCCACACCCAGGAAAGTATATCTGGGGGGAGATGGGTTGCCACAGTTACCTCACTGACACTTGCTATTGGTGGAGCTCTAGTGATTGCATAGGCAATACACTTTATAAGTTCAAGTATAAATGTATTAATACAAAACTGAATGTACTTATTTCATGCATACTTACCAGATCGAAGATGCCAGGAAGATATTAGTGCTGTTGGCAAGGAACCCTACAGGAGGCTCTGCAAGCATCAAGGAAGACAGAACAGACCCACCAAAGCAGTAGAGCATAGCACTAAACCAACATGCAATCGGACTCTGGCGTGACACTTCCAATGCTCCTGAAATAAAGTAAAAAGACCGCCTGTTAATGACATATTTGCACAAGACAAGAAAGAAGGTATCAAACGAACCAAATCATTTCAAAACAGTTTTAAATATCATTATCAGTAACATCCAAATAATTTAGACACTGGCTCAATTTGTTTGACAAGATTATTGATACACTGAATATCAGGTAAAATTATGAAGGATGCTGCAAAATTCTACACTTCAGTACACTCAAAAACACAAACATTTTAAGGAAAGATTAGGAAAAGAAAAACCCTATGCACAAGAACTTAATAATGGCAATATTTTGGCAACAAAACATATTACAGTAAAACTCCAATAGTCCGGCACTCCTGATAGTCAGGAATCAAAATGGCAAGAGCCTAGTGAGTGAGCTTCAACAAAAAATGAGTCACAAGGTAACAACGGCAGCAGCTGAACTGAGCGAAAGGGGTAAAAAAGGGTTAAAAAAACATTACAGTATACTGTATACAGTATGTACAATAAAAAGGGCTACGAACACTTTATATACAGTATATACTGTATACCCGTGGTCCCCGCCATGGCGCCCGCTGGGGGATTTCTGGGCGCCCACTGAAACATCTGGGCTGGCCCCGCCCCCGGCGCGCGGCACATGCATGGTGCCGGCTCCAGGCGCGGGACCTGGGGGCTGGAGGCTGGAGTTTAGGGGCCCAGTCTCCCCCATCTCAAGGGGGCCTGAGGCATCCTAGCCCAGCTCTGTGACCAGATTCCATCTGTGCTGTGCTGTATCCTGGAGAGGCAATAAACTTCCTCTATTCCACCGGCTGGTGCAGTCTGTTTGTGCCATTTCGGGGTGCAGGAGACGGGGGACCCCCAACGCGCCGTCACACCTGGCAACCTTCTTCAGAAGCAGAACAAAACATTAAAAAATTTCACAATAACCATGATACTCCGGCATATCTGATAATCCGGCTCCACCTAGGTCCCATAGGTTCCAGATTATCGGAAGTCTACTGTAGAACGAACAACGCTCTGTACTTAACAATGCCTTTCATCAGAAGATCCCAGAATTCTTTAAAATGGATAGTATCTTCACTGTGCAAATGAAACACAAAGTTCAGTGACTTAGAGACATAGGACTTGACATCCTACGTCAGTCCAGTGACCCACCTAGCCCAATTAGTCTTTCAGTGGCTAGTACCAGATGCTCCAAGGAAAGTTGAAAGAAAAAAATGCCGTAAAAATATTTATACTATTTAATATTACGGTTCATACAAATAGCTTATTCTTGGCTTCAAAAGTATCTTGCATCCACAAGTTTCATAGATTAATTAGATGTTGAATAAAATGAGGCTAGTCATCAGTTTAGAACCTTTCAAAGCCTTTTGTGCGTCCCCTTATTCTATTATAACAGATACATATGACTGACCTTTCATACGTCATTTATTGTGCTATATGTAATGTCCTCACGTTCATCTCCTCTATCAACTATATACTTTTCTAAAACTCTCTAAAAGAACCTTGCAATGCCTTTAATCGTTTTCATTCTCCCCTTGAACCCTTTCTATGTCACATGTATCTAGAGCTGGCCAAAATCTCCCAAAGTTACATTTTGATGACATTTCAAATGTTGATACTATTTTACATTTTCAACCAGTTATAATTATATACTTTTTGAAATGAGGTGACCAGAATTGAACACACACCAGTAATTTATATAATTAGATGAGAGTATTTTCAATATACACTTTACTTCTTTGTACAACCTAACATTGTCGTTTTTCTGACCCCTGCTGAGCACAGAGCAGATGTTTTCACTGAACTATCCACAGCGACAAAGATTTTTCCCCGAGTAGATAGTGTTCATTTAGAACTTATTACTGAGATTAGTTCAAATTATTACTTTCAACATGCAGCACTCTGTGCTTAACTACACTGAATATCATCTGGCATGTCACCAAATTGCCTAGGTAAGATAGGCCATTCATTAATTACTTACTGAATTCTTGTCACAACTAAGCTAAATAACTTTGTGCCTCCTTTTATTGCTACGCTGGATTTATGAGCAGCTTCAGTGGGAACAAAATAAAACTTAATGTGCCCTCTGGCCAGGTCAAACTGAAGGTGGTCTGATACATCTTTAAACCTCACAACAGCCAGGCAATAGATTACACCAGAGAGCATAAAAGCCATTAGGAACCTCTTATGATGGCACTTAAAATACAAGCTGCATACATTTATCTGGCTAATATAACATCTGCAAGCAAATCTGACATTCCTTCACACCATGATCTATCTATTCCAAGGGAGATACCCATAGCCAACATGATATAGGTCATTTCCACAATCTGATATAGGTTATTTCCACAATCTGAAGACAAGGGACGTGTACCAAGAAATATACAAGAGTGTTACTACCCAGCACCGAAGTGCGGGGCAGGTCCTTGAAGCATCAAAAATGCTTGCTGAAGCAAGACACTGAAGCACATTAACTCAGGTGTAGACAGTCTCCCAACCTCTGCTACAGAAGTTGAAATATTCAGGGACCAGTAATCTCCAACATATTAATGGCTGCACACTATCACTTCCCTCCTCTGATACTTCCCAAGTTCATGACATAATGGAGTTGTTCTTCCAATGGGACATGGATCACTTAGTGATTGCCTGCTCTGTTCATTTCCTCTGAATCATCTGACATTGGCCACTTTTTGGAAGACAGGATACTAAGCTAAATAGATGGGATACTGAGATAGACGGATGATCGGTCTGATCCAGTATGGTGGTTCTTAATGTCTGTCACTTCCAAAGTATGGAACAGGGTGTGAAACCTATGTTGCTCCTGTAAGCCCCACTAAATTCACATCCTCTAGCTCAAGTAAACTCTAGAAAGCATTCACTAATCTCCCTCCATCATCACAAACACACAGCTAGAGTCAGGCAAGCCTACACATATTGCTGGCACCACTGCAGCTTACATAGATGCACAATGGGTGACAGACCACCAGCTAGCCATATCAATTACAAGACAGCATGAATTACAAGGAGAAACTGACAGATGTGCTTTTAGTCGCTGCTCTTACTAGCATCCCAAAGCAAAATAAGCAGCAAGGAGGAGGAGAGAAAGCACGCAAACTGGAAAAGACAAAAAGATTACAGAAGAAAAAACACGTGCCAAGGGGAAGCAGAAATATCTATCACACTCCAACAATGAAAGTGATCTGATAAACACAATTTAGGAATATGCTACTATCAGTGTAGTTTGGTAGTTCACTGCCCTACCAAGCAATAACACAGTCTGTTCAGAATTGCAATAGAACCTAAAGGAAGCATGGAGAGGAAAAAAGGATAGCTACGTTCACCAGAAAAAGTAGTAGTGATGAAATCCTCTCCCTCCTCCTACATAATTTTGCACTTTTGAAGCAGTTTGCTCCCTAACTAAATCCCTGAGGGAAACATAAAACTTTATGTGTACAGGGGACTACAGAACAGCCTGTCTGAACTAGTATTTCTTGAACTGTTAAAATTCATTACCTGCACTAGACTTTTCTGACTACTATTATTTCTAAGAAAGTAGTAGAAAAATATGTTTCTGAAGACTGCAATACTTGCGCTATGTCCTCCCCCTAGAAAACATCCAGCACCTAAATCTGTGGTCAGAATTTTGGAACACGGATATTGTCCAGATCTTACATTCATTTCTCCTTAAAAATAGAGCTCGTTTGGTATAAACTCGTGCCTACAGCTTGTCTCAGCTGACAAAAACATTCATTTGTTGACAATGAATTTACTCTTTATTGACTGTACTTTTGCTCTGGAATGGCTTTCCCTCATTTTGCATTTAAAAGTAGGCTTATATATGTATCCGGAAACAGTGTTAAATTTTTATTTATTATTAGCGTCAGATTATGAAACAATAAGTTGCTCCGATCATTGCAGCTCCTGAGTGGGAAATGGTTCGCAAGCCAATAATTCAATTATTGTAATACAGCTGTACCCTGTATCATAGCCAGTCTAAGGACAGTAGTTTGGTAAATAGTCGAGATGTGGATACTGGCTTAATGGAAATGCTTGAAATCACAGATATGTAATGAACCAGGGGAAAGTTGAAGGTATCTTTCATTAACAGGTTCAATGGGTATAAGAAGATAAGCACCCTGCATATATTGAATGTTATAAATGTTTGATTTCTAGAAAGAATTGTGGGGTTTTGTCAATTCTGTCTTGAAGCACTGCCAGCTCACACCTCAGTTTAGTCACACTTATAGCCCTGAAAGGACAAAAACAATCAATCCCATCCTGCAGGGCAGTCGATAAGACTTTGCAGGGCCCTGGGCACGGTGTGAAGAGGCTAGCTCTAGCTGACCTCCTCCACCCAGCAGCTCTTCAGCATTGCTCAGTGTGCACTGTCCAAAACTTCAGCAGTGATTTAAGGGGCCCCAAACTGCCCACTGCCATTTCCACTGTAGCAACGCAGGTAGCTAAGAATCCCTGACCCTTTCAAATCACTGGGCCCCAGGAAGCTGTCCCCTTTGCCTCACTCCCGTTGGCAAGCCTGCCGTCCTAACCCATTTAGTTATAAAGTTTAGGGAATTCATGCACTGCACTCCCTCAGACTGAATATTTATATGACTGCCCCCTATTATATACTAATTTTTGCCTCCTCTTTCCTAGTTTGTAGAGAAGGGAAGCAAAAAATTTAAATCCCATCTTGAAATCCTGACATTTTCCCTGTAGAGATGCATGAACATTCATAGCAAAAATTTTAAAATTGCTTTCCATACAATTATACAGATTCTCTGAAGCAATATGGGAGACTGACATTGTGTTCCAACATTTTTCAGGGACAGGTCTAACTTAAATATATGTCTAACTATCAAGAGGGAGCAAGGGAGAGGGGAAAACGGGAGTTTGGGATAGTATTGGAGACTAATCTCAAGTCTCAACAAACCTCAGACGGTCAGGATTCAAAGGTACTTTCAAAGTTACTTTTCTTACCACAACTTTGCCCCACCTTTTACCTTTAATTCAGTCTACAATTTCCATTGCAGTTTCTAATTATTTTGGAATAAAATCAAATTGTGTTTTCAGCTCCTCCTTTTATAAGCCCTAAATTATATTTGTTACAGTGAAAGTGTCCCTAGAGATGTACAAGCAAGAAAGCAAGCAACAATATTCATGTCTGCTCTAAGCATAAGAAAACAAATGCTTGCCGACTTGGAGAAAAGTGCCCTTCCAACTAACAGGTTACTGCAAGCAAATTAAATTTAAAAAATAAAGATGCCCTCTAATTATCCTTTTTAAAATTACCGTTGAACCATGACGCGACACTGTATTGACATGATGCATAAGGGGTTCAAAGACAACATGGACCTTATTGTATTCACTTAATTAGAATATTCACAAAAGAGTGCCTTACCAATTATAGATACAAGCAATTATCCAGTAAAGTCAGCTATTATATTTGTGAATTCTAGTACAAAAGCCAAGTTTATAAAACAGACATCAACTAGTATCTTGGAGTTTCAAATCTAAACATAAAATACATACTGTAAAGATGTAATGAGTATTGCATGATTTTTTACAATAATGCAATAACTGTTAGGGTTCAAAAATCAGAGGATATCTGCTTAGCTTGAATACTGACTTATCACTGCTCCAGGCATTAAAGTTGCAGTTGATTAAGTTTAATTGTAATTGACAGGATTAACAAAAAGAGCTAATGATCTGGGTGGACTATCAGGTTCTCTTACTGGCACTCCTGAAGTGTACAGCAGTGTCATTAGATCCAGATCCCCTATAGGAAATGACACACACACACAAAATATGGGGCAGATTGGGTTTTTAAATTATTGTATTTATTTGGATTTCTACGATAATAAAAGGGGCACTTATCCAAAGCTCTAGGCCCCTAGATCTTACAAACCCAGAAATAAATTATACAGGTTTACCCTTCTGACAGCCAACAGCACTAGATCTCCAACAATCTCCTTTCCCCTGCATTAAAAGGTACAAATAAATTAACCTTGCAGCATACCCTTAACACCAGAACACAAGCGATTTTCAGACTGAGAAAAAGAACTTAGAGCAGAGGGACCCTCAACCATAGGTGACTTGGGGTAACAGTTGGGAGGTGTGCTGCCCCCTCACATTCTTGCCAAAATTTTAATTGCTAAGTGGGGTGCCCCAACATCCCCGCTGCTCCTGTGTGTGGCCCTCCCTTGCATGCCCTCTCCCACAGACACTATTCGCCCCTGCCCTCAAAGAACATACCATCTCTTTTAACCAGGCTCCACCTTTTAAATTAAGAAAGATCCAACTACCACACCTCTGCTCATCACAACTGTGGCCATATGACACAAGAAGAGTGGGCAGTATCAAGCAGCAAGCTATTTACAGCTTTACAGATCAAACAACATTTAAAATGAAAACAGGAAATCAAAAAGCAGCCCATGTAAATCACTGCAACTGGGAAATACCACTTAATACTGTAGGCAGACTGCTCCCTTCTGTACCAGCCTTAGTTTCTGGATTGATTAAAATACAGCACCATACAGAATGTATTCTAGTAATCTGGTCTTGAGGTGACAAAAATATATATCACAATAACAGGGTCTATCAGTTTTCTGGCCAGGTGCAGACAGTAAAGAAGCATTCCTGGACACTGCTGCCACATGATCATCTAAGGGCACCTGTGGATGCAATAATATACCACATCACAAGTGGCAGACACAACCTCCCAATGGAGGTGTAGAAATGTATCCTTTCCATAACTTCCAAAAGCTTCCTCCAATCTACCAACATCACTTCAGTTTTATCCAAATGGGGATGGATAAGAGTTAGCACTCTCCCTCCAACACTGGGCCAGATGTTCAGCCATATTATCTGGGCCACGTGCAAACTCAAATAGAGATACAAGATAATGAAATCTTTTAATACATCTGCTATAATTTAAGTTGATAAATAGTGATCAAGGTTTAGCTCCCTTAATCATTTCTGGACTAGAAGGGGAAAGAGAAAGTTTTCCAGCTGTTATGGTGTCTTAGATTTTAATGTTTGCTTTTTATATTTTGTACTTGCACCTAAATATAAAACATTAATTACCTCTATCAACAAAGATAGAGGTAATTAATACAAATCAACAAAACAAACCGAGGCAGTAAGAGTGACTGTCATAGGCAATAGTTTTTAAGGGGTCACCCAAATAAATCATATTTCTAACAGCGAAAGCTTAAACACATTCATTTTTTCTAGTTTGTTTACTTGATGCATTTGACAGTGTTTTGTGTGTAATCTCATTTACTGTTTCTCCTATATACCAGTTGTCTATTTGTCAATCTTTCCAAAAGGAGGGCAAAAAAATCCAAACATCTGACAGTATTTGTACCTATCTAATGCAGTAGGCTTTGGGGTGGAGGCGGAAAGGAGTGTCTGTTTTCCTTAACAAATCACACTTCCTCTTTCCCAATCCCCTTCATATTCCTCCCTGACGACTGGCTGCTTTTTCCATGATGTACTTTCTCCACTGGTGACGGTCAGCTCCAGTCCTTAAGGTTATGTCCACACTAGGAATCTCTAGCAAAAACCTGCCAATGATAACTCCAGTAGAATCCGAACGCAGACAAACTTTCAGCAATTTCTTGTATCTTTATAATGTGTCAAAGCTGTTTAGAAGTAGTTGTTAAGACTCCGGATGCTGCTCGTACTATTTCTACATTAGGGTTTTCACCAATGGTGACAAAAAAATCCACTGATGTTAAGGTTCCTTAGTATAGAAACAGATTGTGGACATGCTGACAAAAAAACCTATCAACCGAACCTATGCAGGAATACAACCACCACGGTTATTAAATCACTTGTGCGTGCACACTTAGCTCCTTATGTCAGCATTTGCATCCTTACCAGGACTGCTTGTATCAGTTATACTGTCACCGTGGGGCACAGTGAAACGGCTCCTGAAGGTCAGTAACAGTCAACAGAAGCAGCACAATGTCTACACTTACCCTGCGTCAATCTAATTACCTCAACCATGTCTCTATACTGGTCAGGGAGATGGTGTCACTAAACTGGTGTAGGAAGGCACTTACACCGGCAGGAACCAAATTTAGCTAATGACACTTGGACAGCTAAGGCCCAGTCTACACTAGGAGTTTACACCAAATTTAGCCACACATCGTCGATTTTCTAAATAATGTGTCCACACTACCAAGCCTGTCTCGTCAACCTTAATGGCCACTAAAGTCAACGTTGGGTACACTGAATTAACTGGATAGCACAGACCAAGATTAAAGACGGCTCCTATTCATCAAAAACAGCATCTCTAGTAGAGGTATGTAAACTGGCTAATTCTGCCTAGCAGAGAGTAGGTAAGCACATGCTTTTTCATACTTCCAAGCTCTTTTTAGAAGTCTTTGGGGACAGCAAAGCAGCTGGAACAGAATATAACCACATGACCAGCCTGCTCTCCAAAATCCAGGAGAGACCAAAGTTTGGTAATCTCTGCATTTAGCAACACAAAGTTAGTTTAAGTACCACAAACAAACCATAAATGAAAGGTAGTCCAGAAGAAGAATATGCTAGGCATCATTAGAAGTCTCTTGGCTCTAAACATGGATGTTTGTAATGCAATCATTGTTTTCTTGCTGTAGTGCTGACATAGCTAGAAATCTTGTTGCTTCATTGCTTTTTTGTTTTAACTGTCCTTTAGCAGCACTACTGATAACATTATAGGGGAGTTAAAACCTTTCAGACCACAAATTCAGTTTCAAGTAGGTCACTCACAAATAAATTGTCATTTATGTTTGCCCCATGAAGCATCCTTTAACACTAATGAGGCATCATGAAACCATGCATAACACAATGTGAACAAAGACAATTACAGTAGTAAGCAAATACTGTAGTTTAGGAATGACATCAAGGTTTCAAAATATCGAATACAGGTGTTTAAGTGTTTGACATTAAATAATTATTCTTGTTAAAAAGTGTGACCTGCTTTTTAATGTTCTCCCCTTATCATTTCTTCCTCACTTTCCTCCTCCAACCTACAAAATAATAATTTTTATTACACACCAAGCTTGTCTTGGTTATACACCTAAAGGGCAAACTAAAAGGTCCTTCTAAAATAAAATGCTTTTTAACACTATTCAAGATTACTTAGTTTCCAAATCAGTAACAATATCAATAATTACCAATGATAACTTCGCACTAAAAAAGAATCAGATTCACTTACTCAAAAACCTATACCAAGGGTCTACAAGTCTCCCCCGCCAAAATAATCCGCTTCTGTGGAGAAACCCACAAAAACTCTACATTAAATAAGACTAGCAAGTGGAACCAGTACCTCACTCACAAAAACTAAATTTCCTTTGATAAAGTTAAGAACGTTTAAAAGTTTAAAGCTTTTTATTTAAAAAGCTCATAATTTAGCAGTGGTCTGTGCCATTACTAAAAAAAGACAGTTTCCACAAATTGTCTCTACAGAATACTTAGGAAAAGAATAAATCTGAAGTCCTATATGAGATACATGGCCCAAAGTTTAAGTTGTAAAAACAAAGGAAACATTTCAAAAAAGGAAAGTTGTTTTCTAAAAATAATGCAGTAAACCCTCAATGTAACAATGCGATGCAAAATGCAGGCTGCTGACTGACTATGCTGTGACACAATGGAACACTAGCTATACTGCAAGTCTACTGACTGAGTTACAGCTGGAATTATTTTGGCAAAATTGCATCTCCAATATTTGTTATAATTATTTTCTAGAGGAGCCCCTCAATACCACTTTCTCCACATAAAAAAAATTACTAATTCCATGTTCAAATTAGAAAATGAGCTATGCTTACACCTAGAAAATATCACAAAAACAAATTTATGCATAATAATTGAAATTTCTAATTGAATACAATGTGTGCTGAAATCCATTCTATGGTCATTTACAGTACTGTAGTTTACTAATAGGGGCATGTGAAGAAGCAACAAAAAATGTAAGCAAATTCTGTAAAGTATTAATGGAAAATATATTTTTCATACACCTACACAAGTGCTCCTACCAGAAATCTGATTCTAAGATAAGAAGGATGATGATGTATTTTAAGCAGTGGATTGAGGACACCCAGGATGTGGGCTCCATTACTAGATCTTCCGCATACTCCGTGTGCGGCCTTTGGCCAATCTTGAATCACTGAATCAGATCATTCATCTGTAAAATGGGAGTATTTCATTAACATTTCTGAGATGCACAGATACTTAAGTGAGGCATACAAAAGCAAAGCAAGTCAAACAAAAAATTAGTCAGAACGAAAGTACTCAATTTACCAAACAGCTTAAACTTTCAATATTAACTAGCCACAATGAACTGCTTATAAATGAGTAACAGACGAAGATTTATTCACTTAAAATTTACAAAACATCTTAAATTTTCAATATTAACTAGCCACAATGAACTGCTTATAAATGAGTAACAGACGAAGATTTATTCACTTAAATTATTTGGCTAGTAGTTCTAAATATTTAAAATCAAGCTCTGCCCAAGCTTCTCAAAACAGGAAGATAAAATGTCAAATGTGTAGTCATTTATCTGTCCAGCTCTAGCCAGAGCTAGGTAAAGGCTGCCACTAAAGGCAAACTTTCTAAAATGCAAAACATTACTAAAGCTACGCTGAAGATGTGCCACAAAAAGGGGGGGGGGGTATCATTTCTTCACTAAAGTCCATCTACAGTTTGGACCCAAGCCTAAAACCCAGAGGAATTTGAAACTTCAAAGTAATACAATATCTTCTCCACTAACTATAAATATGAGATTTCTCATTTTTAACCTGCTTCTTCATTCAATAATGTCATATAAGCCAATATTTCTGACGTCACAATCATTTTTACAACAGGGAATTTACTACCACAATTGCTTTATACAGAAATATTAGTGTCCATCAGGAGAAGCAAGAGATTAGGGGGGAAAAAGAAAGCTTTCTTTAACATGACCATTAGAGTATTCAACATAAATTACTATCTGTGGAAGAAAGAAATTTGTGGTTTGGGCATTTTTAATGCATCTGTCTACAAATACTTTGATATAATGCAAGTAACTGACATTGCATGTATTTATAGTTCCTAGATTTTTCAGTTGTTTTACCTAGATCATGACATTAGAGCAATTTCAAATACTGTTGGTATATTAGTAACAAACAAGTCCTAACAAAGTCACATGTCCAAGGCAAATAGTAAAACTTCTTTTGGTCAATTTAGTCATCCATTACTACAATAGTAAGTTTTCATTTAAACAAAAATAAAACATCTAACCTGTCTGGCAGCAAATAGCATTCAAAATGCAAAGTAAACAAAGCAAGGGTTTTCCGGAATCTGCTTAAGTCTGATAACAGTCACACCCAGCCAAACATCTCAGATAAGGAGAAGTTACTCTGAGGCAGAGGAACTTTCCCAGTTCTTTAAGTCACTTCTAAGTAGCTATTCTGGACTAATCTATACAACACTTTGTTCAATTCTATAAGAGGTGAAGGCTAGTTGATAGCCCCAAATCCATAGTGCACAAGTCCCAAAGAGTTTGTACACACAACACAGACTCCAAATACTGCCCCAATTCCTGTATAGCAGAAAAGTCTTGGAAAACAGCCTTCCCTAACAGGTTACTGGATGATTTATTAATTTAATTTCCCCCCTCCCCCCCCCGAGAAAATGAGAAGGCATGGCTTTGGAAGATCATCAGCTTCCGTGGCCGATGTATTGTGATTTGTTGTGAATATGCTAATTAATGAATTAATTTGGTGTATTAAAAATAGTGGTAAAGGCAGATTCACCAGATGTGAACTATAAAATATAAAGTCAGGAAAGACATCTCTTCAAGTGTATATATAACATTACGGCCTCCCTGTCGGAGGGAGGCACAGCCTTTTACAGAAAGTTTTCCAGTAGTTTGTCACTAAATTAGAAAGGAAATACACCAGTTGAAATTGTAATGGAATGGACCTGAGAAAACTAAAGTTTCAGGAATAGACATGAAGGAACTGAAGTTTCAGGTTATCATTATCACTTTGCAAAATCATCACAGTCTGAAGTTCAGAACACTTTTCTATACTGTAAGAACTTAATTTTTTTAGAATAACTGCACAATGCTAATTCATCCCTAATTATTTTGCAATCTGTATATAAAACAACTGAAATGCAGACATCTCTGGACAGGACAGCAGCAATTAACTGATGCACAGCACATGCATGAAAACAAATGGTTATCCAAGGCCACCAGAGCAAGCCTCAATTCCTGTGCAAAAGGAACACAAACTCTTTAAGGCAGGTTTCCCAACCTATGGGTCAGGACCCAAATATGAGTCGCCATTACATTTCAAAAGGATTGCCAAGTGTCTCTCCAAGTGGCTCTGCCCTCTCCTCTCCTCTCATTTTTGAATTGCATTGGGTCACCAAGACTTCCTGAATTGTCAAAATGGGTCCCCATCTGGAAAAGGCTGGGAACCACTGCTTTAAGGTCTCTTGTGTCTGCAATAACAATAGTAAAAAACGGACCATAATTTTCCAAAACTTGTAGCAACAGTAGACATTATACTATAGACAAGGGTCAAGATTCTTTAGCCTTATATTATCTAACCCTGTTTTATGTTACCTATCCTCCTACCCCCAGCAAAAAGCCACAAGCCACAACAAAGCTGACAGTATATTGTTCTCGCTGTGCTGGCACAGAGGCCATTTGGAACAATAATAGGTACATCAGGCAGCAGATTGAGATCTTACACTTCCCCATTCCTTCACACACACACACTCGATCTCTGTGACTGAAATCAGTGTTAATTTTAAGTGCATACAATTCACAGACTGTAAAGCCAAAAGAGACCACTGTGGTTATGTAGTCTAACCTGCTGACTAGCAGAAGTCATAGAACTTCCCTACATTACTTCCTGCTAAAATATTTTTTTGGGGGGGTGGAAGTGGGGAAAAATCGTCACCACCATTTACATCTGTACACACGCTTAACTAGCAAGAGCATCAGCCTCCATTTCCTACCCTTGGTCTGCCTAGGGGTGGAAGAACCCCCCTTTTTTATATTTCAACATTGTGTGTTTATTTTAAAGCTCCTTCCCCCCCCCCATTTCAGTTTGCAGTCGTGCCATGTTCTGGGTTTAAACATTCCATTCATCTCTCTACATTTTCACAGCGAGGGCAAACTATGGAGGAGGGATTCCGAACGCTGCAACCCCTGTGGAAGCAGCCCTGTATTTCAAGCATAAATTGTTCACATAACACGACCCAACACAGCCAGTAACTAAAGCCCGGCCCTTCAATCAAACCGGGGTCTTCAGGCAGCACTGCGGTTCCTCGCCTCTCGGGAAGCGTGGCCAGAGACGGCAAGGCTGCTTCGCTCGGTGCGGGG